TCACCCCCAAAAGGCCCTCAATTGTTGTAGAGTCTTAGGTAGAGGATGGATCCTATCTTCTCATGGAGACCTCATTTCTTTCTTCAGGACAAGACCTAAATTTGACTGACACAATTGGGCTTTTTCTGTAAGATTTTATATCCTCTGTTTGCTAAGAAGTTTAGTTAAGGATTCAGTGGCTCTTGAAGCGACAGGCTTATTGGTCCACAGAGCAGGAGGTCATCTACATATTGTAGCAGAGTAGCTTGTGGAGATTGCCACTCTGCCAAGTGTTGGGTTAGAGCCAATCCAAAGAGGTGGGGGCTGTCTCTGAGTCCCTGGGGAGGACAGGCCAGGTGACCTGACCAGCTTTTCATGTGGGGTCCTCAAAGCCAAAGATAGATTGACTTTTTGGGTGTAAGGGAATGCAAAAGAAGGTATCCTTTAAGTCCAGGACAGAGTAGTAAGCAGTAACTGGGGGTATTTGGGCTAGAAGCACATAGGGATTTGGAACTACAGGGTGGAGAGGCACTACTGCTTCATTGATCAAGCAGAGATCTTAGACTAGCCTCCATTTGTTAGGTCCCTTTCTGACCCAAGTATTATATGGGCTGGAGCATTCTATTAGCAGTCCTGTCTCTTTAAGTCTTTGATTATGAGAATTAGTCCCTCCTTAACGTCTAGTCTTGAAGGATATTGGTTTTGATGGGGAAACCAAGAGGGGTCCTTGAGGTGAATTAGGACTAGGACCGCCATTTGTGCTGGTCCCATGGGGGTAAAAGGAGCTGCACCCCCAATTTAGATAAAAGGTCTCACCCTAGCAGAGGAGTAGGGGTTTCTTGGACAATTAAAAAGGAGTGACAGAAGTGGAAATCTCCCCAGGAGCTGTGGAGGATGAGTGAAATAACGCTCTAGGGGCTGGCCTGATATGCCCCGAACAGTAATTCTCTTGAAAGAACAGTAATTTTCTTGAAGGACCTGGATCTGGGAGAGAAAGGAATAGCTGAAATGCTGGCTCCAGTATCAGTAAGGAAGCTGACCTATGCTTTTCAACAATAACTATCGTCTGGGGCTCTTCTAGTTTTATGGTGGTCACAGGAGCCTGGATGGGAGGCTCCAGGACCAGGAGGCTCTGACCTCAGTTCCCTTGGGAATCAAGGACAGGGTGCCTTCCAGTGATTTCCCTGGCAGATGGGGCAGGGTACTGGAGGTGGCTTCCTCCAGGGGCACTCCCTCTTAAAATGGCCTAACTGTCCACATTGAAAATATGGCCTCAGGTTTGGACTGCACCCTGGGGGAACTCTCAGAGTGCTGTGATCAGAGCTTCCTTCTGTTTATCTTTTCTCTTTTCCTTTTCCAGGTTCTTTTTTTTCTTTTTTTTTAAGTCCATATTATAGTATACAGATGTGGCTACATGGACCAATTGGTCCAGATCTCTGTTCCCTTCAAACACTAGTTTTTGAAGATTTATACAATTATCTGGGGCTGACAGTGTCAGAAATTTATCTTTTAGGATGATTTCCTCCTCCTGTGACTTTAGTACAATGTTGGTATGCTTTTGTAAAGCATTCTTAAATCTCTGTAGGAAAGCTAATGGGGTTTCTAAGGGTCCTTGGTATAGCCATGACTTGGGAGTAATTAAGGGGTTTTATCTTAGCTCTCCTTAGACCCTCAAGAATGCAGTGGATGAAATGGTTATAGGTCCATTCATCCTTGTCATTCTCAGGGTCCCACTTAGGATCATATCTAGACACTGCCTAATCTCCTGTGCGAATTGGGAATTGGGATTCCCTTTTAGGTATCCAGTGTCTCAATCTTTCTTCCCCCTCTCCCTCCTCCTCTTCCAAGGGCCTGGTTGAGATAGGCCTGTAGAGCCACATTTATCTAAGTGATAATCGTCCCCAGCAGCAACTGCCTGATCTAGTACTTGCTGTTTCTACAGAGAAGTGAAAGTCTGAGATAACAATGTCATTACATCCTTCCAGATCAGTTCAAAATTTTGACTGACTTCTCTGAATGCCTGGTTGTACTGATCTGGGGTTTCAGGGTAACTTCCTAAATCTTTTTTATTTCTTTAAGCTCACTTAATATAAAAGGAATGGGAGCCCTATCCCCTCCAGGAATTAACTGGAGTGGGTAGAGTCCTGTGGGACTTGTGTCAACCAATTTCCTCAGGGTGGGATATATCCCCTGTGGTTCCCCTGGAGATTTGATTTCTGTCATGGGGGAGGCCCCCTTTGACATCATTGGGGGCCCTTGGGCATCAGATGGTTTTTCAGGTTCTGCTTCCTCAAGGGAGTCTGGGGGCTTTTTGTAAAGGGTCACCATGGTCTGGGTATCTAGCCTGCATGTGCTCAGCCATTCTGGATGGTCTCTTAGGAGAAAGAAAAGTTGAACATATGGGACTTCAGTTCACTCTCCCTCTTTTCTACAGAACATATCTAATTGAAGAATGGTATTATAATTAATGCTCTCCCTCTTTCTGGCCATTTTTCCCCATCTTCCAGAGGATATTGTGGCCAGGCCTGGCAGTAAAACTTGAGTCACTTCCATTGAGGACTTTCTGGATCAAGGTCTTTCCAATGTTTTAGTAAGCAGGCAAGGGGGGATCCTTCTGGGATCCTGGAAGCTTGATTTCCCATCTAAAATGGGAAGCAAGGGAAAATTGATCACCTTAAGAGGAGTTTTCTCCTGTTACTGAGGCATCCCCAGGAGAAGAGATCCTCCACATGAAAGAGGGCGTCCCTCTCTCCTGTGATCTGCTGCCACTGCTACCTGTGGCTAAGGTTATGGAGAAGACATTTAGGTACATCTGGATGCAGCCACTCAGCCGGAGCAACCCTGGTCAATTTTTCTCTTATTTTGCCTGTTTGCCTTGTTACTCATGTACCTGGTTCTCCTCTACCAGCTGAAGGCTTGTAATTTAAAAATAACTCTATCAGTGAGGGGCTCTAAAGCAACTAAGAGGGCTTGCATGGCCAGAGGGAGGACCCCTGAGGAGGCATGGATGTGGATTAATGTATGCAAGGTGTTTTTTTTTTTTTAATTTTTACTTTTTGGTTTTTCTTTTTTGTTATTATTATTATTTTATTATTTTATTATTCATATGTGCATATAAGGCTTGGGTCATTTCTCCTCCCTGCCCCCACCCACTCCGCCCCCTCCCTCTCCCCCCCACCCCCTCAATACCCAGCAGAAACTATTTTGCCCTTATTTCTAATTTTGTTGTAGAGAGAGTATAAGCAATAATAGGAAGGAACAAGGGTTTTTGCTGGTTGAGATAAAGATAGCTATACAGGGAGTTGACTCACATTAATTTCCTGTGCATGTGTGTTACCTTCTAGGTTAATTCTTTTTGATCTAACCTTTTCTCTAGTTCCTGGTCCCCTTTTCCTATTGGCTTCAGTTGCTTTTAAGGTATCTGCTTTAGTTTCTCTGCTTTAAGGGCAACAAATGCTAGCTAATTTTTTAGGTGTCTCACCTATCCTCACACCTCCCTTGTGTGCTAAAGCTTTTATCATGTGCTCAAAGTCCAATCCCATTGTTGTGTTTGCCCTTGATCTAATGTCCACATATGAGGGAGAACATATGACTTTTGGTCTTTTGGGCCAGGCTAACCTCACTCAGAATGATGTTCTCCAATTCCATCCATGAATTCGTTCTTTTTCATGGCTGCATAAAATTCCATTGTGTATAGATACCACATTTTCTTAATCCATTCGTCAGTGGTGGGGCATCTTGGCTGTTTCCATAACTTGGCTATTGTGAATAGTGCCGCAATAAACATGGGTGTGCAGGTGCCTCTGGAGTAACCTGTGTCACAGTCTTTTGGGTATATCCCCAAGAGTGGTATTGCTGGATCAAATGGTAGATCAATGTTTAGCTTTTTAAGTAGCCTCCAAATTTTTTTCCAGAGTGGTTGTACTAGTTTACATTCCCACCAACAGTGTAAGAGGGTTCCTTTTTCCCCACATCCTCGCCAACACCAGTTGGTGGTGGTGTTGCTAATGATGGCTATTCTAACAGGGGTGAGGTGGAATCTTAGTTTGGTTTTAATTTGCATTTCCTTTACTGCTAGAGATGGTGAGCATTTTTTCACGTGTTTTTTGGCCATTTGAACTTCTTCTTTTGAGAAAGTTCTGTTTAGTTCACTTGCCCATTTCTTTATTGGTTCATTAGTTTTGGGAGAATTTAGTTCTTTAAGTTCCCCGTATATTCTGGTTATCAGTCCTTTGTCTGATGTGTAGCTAGCAAATATTTTCTCCCACTCTGTGGGTGGTCTCTTCAGTTTAGAGACCATTTCTTTTGAAATGGTTTTAGTTTTATGAGGTCCCATTTATCTATGCTATCTCTTAGTTGCTTGCTGCTGGGGTTTCGTTGAGAAAGTTCTTACCTATACCGACTAACTCCAGAGTATTTCCTACTTTTTCCTGTATCAACTTTAGAGTTTGTGGTCTGATATTAAGATCCTTGATCCATTTTGAGTTAATACTGGTATAGGGTGATATACATGGATCTAGTTTCAGTTTTTTGCAGACTTATGCAAGGGTTTTTTGTTAGGGGTGATAAAAATGTTTTAGCATTGAATTGTGGTGATAATTGCACAGCTCTGTGAATACAGTCAGCCTTCCATATCTGTGGGTTCCAAATCCACATAATCAACTGCAGATAGAAAATACTTTTTACAAAACTGTGTCTATATTGAATATATGCAGACTTTTTCTTGTCATTATTTCCTAAACAAACAACTATTTAGGGTATTTTAAGTAATCTAGAGATCATTTAAAGTATACAGAAGGATGCGCATTGGTTCTATGTAAACACTATGCATTTTATGTAAGAGATTTGAGAATCCATGGGTTTGGGAAAAGGGACCCTCAGCTATTCAAGGAATGACTATATGCCAAAATGTACCAAAGTGTAAGCTTTACTAGTGCAATTGTATATGGTATGTGAATGAGGTTTTTTTCTTTTTAAGTCACTCCCCCCATGCAGTCAACTATGAACAACATTTCTTTTAGGCTGATTATGTGGTTCCTGTGGAAGATAATGATGAAAACTATATTCATCCCACAGAAAGCAGTTCACTTCCTTCTGAAAAAGGTAAGTTTGCAGCTTCAAGTACCTGAAAACAAGGCTACTCAGTAGTAAGGGCTGAGGGTCTCAGGACACTCTGTCATCTGTAGTCACAGCATATGCCTTCTTTGGCTGGTCAAGCATCAGTGAGCTACTCATCTCTGGGTTTTCAAAGGCTTTTCCCTCCTTCCTCCTTCCTCCCACCTCAAATTATAAAAGCACCAAGTTTATTATCTTCAGCTTCCCCCACTTGGAAGGGGTTTCTCATAACCCCTTCTGTAACTCACAGAGCTACAATCCACCATGTTAGCTTTATAAATAGCAGACAAGGAAAGGTTTCTATGGAGGACTGATAAAAATGAAAGCACGAAGATGCTCTGTGTCATGGCTTTTTAAATTCAGTGGTAGCCCAGGCTTGTAAAAAACATTTCATTTGTAAATCCTTCATGGGATAACAAATGCTATTATAAACAGATTATCTGAAAAAAGCCAGTGCCACATACTCTCAGGTCAAACACAGAAACAGAGCATGGTTCCTAGATGTTGTTTTGGAGAATATAAACCCATGCAAGAGATGCTTTCTTAAGCAACACTTCTCATCTAATAAACTTGATTCCAAGGTAGGCAAGCTTTTGCTCACCTCCATGTAACAAGGGAGTCCACACCGACAGCCTAAAGACCCACCTGAATTCCCCAGCCACTTTTTACCATGAAACAACACATACATGTTCCCCTTACCCTCACCCTAAGAAACACCTCAAAAATCTAAGAAAAAGTGTATGTGGCAGGGGAAGTGGGGTTATAAATTTGGCTCCTCCATGCTTAGTTTTATACACTTCTCCTGATTAAAAATAATACTAACAACAAAACTCATCTCCTAGATCCCAGTTTGACAAATGTTAGTCCAAGATGGTATTCACTTTAACAAAACCCCTATAATAATTGAATTGAATTACCCCTTTAATCATTAATATATCCATTCAAAAGATTTCTTCTGAGAAGGATTCTTTGAATTGTGTGTTTATTAAGGGTGTCTCCCATTCTGTGTAAATTCTCTGGTCTGACCCACCATTTTTTCCCAACATGGGAATATTTCTCAGTAGAATGGACCTGTAATCACTGGATATGTGTTTATGTGTTTAAGCTCCCATGGTGAACAGATCAACCAAGCCAAGTAGCACCATAAAGCCTACTTCTCCTCCAGGGACAGCTTCAGGTAAAGTACATGTGTGATTAGGTTTGGTTTTGAATCTGTTTCAAAAACAATATGCAACTCAGATCAAATATGAATAATCACTTTTATTTCCAAATTTCTTAATAAATGGTAACAGAAGGCCTACACTCATCTGTTCCACTGTCTGGTGGCTCCTGTGTGGAAGGGACCCTCCTCCTGTCCCCCAGGCCATTTGGCCTCTCTTAGGTAGGACTTTGCTGGACCCTTTGCTGGCTTCTCCCCCATCTCCTCTCCTCTGACTATGGATGACTCCCAGTGTTTAGCCTTGAGCTCTTCTTTCAGGATACTTGTGATGGTTAAAAGCTTGGGGTTTGAGTCAACACAGCCCTGCATTGGAAGCCTGGTGTTCCCAAGTGCTGTATCACCTTGGGTTTGTACTTCACCTCTCCAAACATCAGATTTTCTCATCTGTAAATGGAGACCATAGTCCTTACCTATGACAGGAGAACTGTGAAATCAGATGGCCCACAGTCAAAGAGAACAATTTTCCGTATCTTTCAGAGATCATCCTTTCTTCTGGCTTCACTTCTCATGTCTAGGCTTCTAAGCTGATGACTCTTGTGCCCATCCCCAACCTGATTTCCCTCTGACCACAGTGGCATCCCGTGCCTCAAACTGAGTACCTCCATCACTGAACTCTAAGCTCATCACTGCTTCCCTGTTTGTATCCAGGTTCCTCTATGCATGTTAGCCTCCAGGCTGGGTGTGTTGGAGTCCTCCTTCCTTTCCAAAGCCTGCTGCTTCTTTCTCCCGAGTTTGCTCTTCTGTTTTAGCTGCCACCACTCTAGACTGGCTTTCTTAACTCTGTTACCTCATCATCTTGTCTGTCCCCATGCCCTAGCCACACCCCTGCCTCTTGGCTCTCTCCTTAGCAGTGAAGAGTAGGTTTCGGAATTCCCCAGATGTTGCCAGCTGCATCCTATTCAGTACTCAAGCCATGGACATCCAGCACTTCCTAGGTTGTCTTCTGCAGGCTTTGGCAAACCCCAAGGCTGAGGCCAGAGATGCCAAATGCTGCCCCACCCCCTGACCCCATCATCAGCCCAGAGAGATGGGTGCTCTATTTCTGTGTTCCTGTGTGCATTCTCTGCCTCTCTCTCTGAGCCTCTCCTCCCTACACACACACACACACACACCCACACCCCATAGTAGAACATAAGTAATTAGGAGGTTGGGCTCTGCTTCCAGGGACCAGCTCCCTGAGAGACAAAAAAAATTTTTTTTAATTATTTCTTAGACAAATTTTTTTTTTTTGGTGGCAGGCGGGTCCCAGTATTGGAATTTGAACTCAAGGATCCCTGCTTGCTTTCTCTGAATATTTTTTAGGTAGGGTCTTTCTGCCCTGGCTGGCCTGGACTGCAATCCTGCTATTTTAGGCTTTGCACTGTAACTGGAATGACAGACACTGACCACCAAACCAAGCTTTTTTTCCCTGTTGAGATGGAGTCTCACCAACGTTTCTACTCAGACTGGCCTTGAACCATAATACTCCTGATGCCAGCCTCCTGAGTAGCTATCTTAGACTCATTTCTTGTGAAATGGTTCACTTCTCAAGTTCTTCTCTTACTTATCCTCTCCCTCAGAACCCACAGCCTCTCTATATCTGGGGAGTGGTGGTCAGAGCCCTCTTATGCAGCTTGTCACACACCAACCTAAAACATCATAGCAAGGTTGTTGGTCTCTGTTGAAATGGAGATTCCTGAGCCATGATCACTCAGGATGAGGGCTGTAACTACTAAAAACCTCTAATAAACAAATAAATGAAGACCTAAGGTTTTTTGGTAAAATAGCTTAGTAATCTCTAGTGGTCACATCTTAAAAAGCCCTGTTGGCCATAAAAAGACCTCTTCTTCCCAAGAAACACTTCACCATGTGTCCTACCTTTTGGTCTTTGCATGCTCACTTTTATGGCAACAAATCCTGCCCATCCTTCAAGGTTCAGCTTGAGGCCTCCACATCCAGGAAGCCTCCTTCAGAGAACTCTCCTTTCCCAGAAGTGTCTTCTCAATTACATTTGACCCATACCTTTCCACCTAATTACTCCGTCTCAGTCCAGTCTCCCTAAGTACACTGAAAGCTCCTTGATGATCTTGCCTTCAATGTCACTTGCTCAGGAGGCCTTACCTGACCCCACATTGGGATAGATCTCTGTGATGTCCATTTCTACAGTGACCTGTACACACCCTTTATTCCATGACTCCTCTTTCCTATAAGACTCTGAACTCCACATCTTGCTCACAGCTGTCTCTCAGGGCCTCTGCCAGAACCTGATTCAAAGCAGGTGCTGAGATGGTAGATGGGTCAGTTAATTGAGAGATGAGCAAATCCCCAAACCCTGGATGTATTTGAGGAGTCACATGGCACCATCAGAGGGTATTAGTGTTAGGAAAATGCCGCACACCGCACACAAAGGCGGCTCACGAGAGGTATCTCATGTCCAAAATTTAATAAGCAGGCTGGCTGGCCGAGAAGAAAAAATGGCGCAGCAGCTTCTCTCAGCGGGTCTGGCCTTAAGTAGCATTTGGGAGAAAGCAAGGGCTAGGGACGGACAAAGAAAGGTGGCAGGAGATAAGGGACAGTGGGGCTTTGTTTTGCAAGGGATGAGACCAGCTGCTGAAGCAAGGTCTAGAGGTGGGCAAAGTAAGGTGGTGGGAGATAAGGAACAGTGGGCTTTGTTCTGCAAGGGGTGAAAGCAGCCGCGGCTCAGGCCGCAGAATGGTGGCAAGGGGCAGTTCTTATCAATTAGCTCATTGGATTTTTACTCACTGGTTTGTTATTAATCTCTAGTATGGTATATTTTAATATTGGAGGCATCAGATGAAGAAGCTACATCTACATAAGAAAACAGTGCTCTAGTTATGTGATTGTTGCATGAAGTTGGGAGGAAAGACAGGAGGAAGGAAGAAGTGAGGTGGTTTGAGAAGAACAACATAAACAGTTGAGTGACAAGTTTCTGAGTATGGGAATAAAACTTTCAGGGATAATTTTTTTTAAGACAGGGTAGTAAATGTTAATAGTAGTAGTCCAGGCTGGCCTCAAAGTCATGGTTATCCCCAAGTTTCAGTCTCCTGAATGCTAAGATTACAGGCATGTACCACCATGCTCAGCCTAGGTTGTACACAGTAAGAGATTTCATCATGACACTTTCATGCATACATATGATGTATTTTGATCATATTCACCCCCTCTAATGTTCTTATTCTTCTACCCTCCTCCTTTTCCCTTGCCCTTTCACCTCCTTAGTAGTCCTCCTTTTACTTTCATGACCTTGTTTTTTGTTTTGCTGTGTCTTGTTTCCTTGAAAACATGTGGTACTTGTCTTTGTGGGGCTGGCTTGTTTCACTTAATATGGTGCTCTCCAGTTCCATCCATTTTCCAACAGAGATGGTTTTTATGAAGGATTGATCAGACTGCTTGCCTGCGGCATTGACTCACTACCCATCTTCCTTTAATGGCTTCAGGTAGCCAGCCCTTTGAAGGGCATCACAAAAGTGCTAAGGTTTCTTAGGGAACAATTTTGTTTCTTCCTTTTGTTATGAAGTTTTACTCAAAATCAGTGTTTCTCAGCCTTGGCACTATTAACACTTGGGGCCAGATTATTCTTTATTGTGTGCGTGTGTGTGGGATCCTATGGAGCCTGGGATATTTGGTAATATACCTGCCTTCTACACACTAGGTGCCAGTAGCATTTCCCTATATGTGGCAAGAAGAATGTCTCCAGACATTGTCAACTGTCCTGGGGTTGGGAAGCAAGTCAAACCCAGTTGAGAACTACTGGTTTAAGCAAACTAAAAGGCTTAACCCCATTATGATTTATTTCCAGATGAGAATGTGATGGTGGCGAGATCTCTGGATGATTTGTAGCTTTTGTCAGAAGAGGATAGATACAGCATGCATTCTGACTTCCTTTAACTAGTATCACTTAAAAATATGCAATCTCCTTCTTTCCTAAAAAGAGGGGTGAGCCTTTGGAATTTATAATTCCCCATAAAGGCGCAAGCTGAATTTCACCTGTAGCTAGATTGTGGTATAGTTGCTGAATAAATCTTTCACTTGGAGGTGTGTGAGTATGCAGAGAGTATAGGATACTCAGACACAGTGGTAACATTTTCCATAGCAGCTTAAGCAGAGATGAATCTCAAGGGCTTACAATGTCAACATTGTAAGAATAATGAAAGCTACCAGTACTGCATGTGAAACTGAAAGAAAAGCAATGTGTAAAACATTGTAGGGAGAATAAATACTAAGCAAGGGTAAATAGTTTGTCTAGTAGAGAAACTTTGGTAGCACCAGTTGGTGCAAGGCCTGTATTATGAAAGCAAAATTACCAAATGTTTTTAGTAAGTTAGGACAGTTAAGCTAAAACTGATTTTTTTCTTTTACTTTTATGAGTTTGGATACATTTCCGTCTATTGCATTTCCAATTTCTTCCTTGGAGTATTCTAGCCAAGAATTCAGCTCTCAGGAAAGCAAGGGTCCTGGCTGTGTGGAGGGTACCGAGTGTGCCTCTGCTCTGATTGTCCCACCCCGCTGCACCCCTGGATCTGGCTGCATCCAGAGCAGCAAGAGAGCCCTGGCACATGAATAGAGGAGTCGGTCTCTGTCCTTCTTCAACATCCACAAAACATCCCTCTGTTTCCTTTATTGCTCCCCTCATAAGGGGATCTGACCTGCCACCCCATGCTCCCAAGAACAGTGTGAGAGACCTTGGCTGGAGAGGAGAGTACCTGCCTGGACCTTAAACCTGATCAGCCTTAGGTAAACCCCAGCCCTGCCACTTACCCTCTCTGAATGACTGTTTGCCCTACATGATGTTACATGAGGCACACTGCTAACATCCACAGACACTGTGGCTTTGATCACAAGACACTAAAACAAAGACAGTAATAATCATATGTATTGACATTCTTTGAGTTATAATTTAGATATCATAAACTCACCCATCTTATATGCATAATGATTTTTGTAACCCATTACATTTATAGTAATACATTATGCCACCACCACTAAAATCCAGTTTTAGAAAATCTCCATGCCCACTAACTCTGAAAGATCCCTCGCACCCATTTATAGTTAATGCTGTTCCCACCCCAGCTCCAGGCAATCACTTGTCTCCTTTCCGTTGCTATAGATTTGCCTTTTCTAGACATTTTGTATAGATAGACTCACATAGTATGTAATCCTTGCATCTGGCTCCTTTTGTTCAGTACAATGTTTTGACCATCAAAAACTTTTATTATGTTACCAGTATTATTTTAAATTTGGTTAATTTTTATTTTAAGGCTGAACTAAGGTTTGAACTCAGGGTCTCACACTTGCTAGGTAGGTGCTCTACCACTTGAGTCATACCCTATCCCTTATATTTGGCTAATTGTTTTAAATATCAAAGTTGATGCAGGCATAGTGGTGTATGCCTATAATCCCACCACTAAGGAGACTAAGGCAGCAGGACAGTTAGTTCAAGACCATCCTGGGATACATAGCTATACCCTGCATCAAAGAATGCCAAAGTTATCCTATTATCTTACCACAATAACTCTGAATTAGATAAAGTAGGTATTGGTATCCCTATTTCATAAAGGGGGATAACTGAGACATGGTGGTTTATAAGAGGTTACTGAGCCATTGCTTTGCAATAACTAGAACCCTGTCTTTCTGAAGCAAGACCAAAGTTTTTCCACCAGCACTTGTACCCCACTACCACAAAGCAGAGATGGAAGACCCTGCCTCTCCTTTGATGGCCAGAAGTTATTTATGGAGAAGGAATGGAAAGGGAAGACAATGACAGGCTATTTGGAAATATGGAGGAAAAGGAAGCTGAGTAGCAATGCCGAGTGGTAGGTCTAACAAAAATAATATACCCAGGATAAATGAGCCCTTGGCATTTAAGAAGAGGAAGAATTTCCTGTCTTAGACTTTCTTTCTACTTCCTGACTTTTTCAGACAAGATTTTTTTTCCTCCTCCCTGAAATCTTTCATCAAAATCTATCAGTAGCCAGAGTATTTTCAGAGTGTCAATCTTAAGTGTTCAATTTATACACTAGCTGGTTAAATGCAACTGGACTCGTACTACATATTCAGATGACATTTCAGGTCATGAAATGTAAAAATTCCAAATGTAGTCTCTTTTACAAAATGTTTTTAAAATCACACCTAGGTCATGTAAGCTGTAAGTAGGAGTTACACTGGAAGAGGCATTGCTTCATAGGGTGCTGGAGAAGGCTTCCAGCAATCAGTGTCTCCCACTCTTTGCTGTTCATGTCATTGGTGAGCATCTAGAGACCTTAGCCCTATGCAAGGACTGTGTATAAAAAGAGTAGATGGGCCAAGCATGATGGTACACACTATAATCCCAGCAACTCAGGAGGTGGAGACAAGAGGATTGTGGTTAAGAGGTCAGTCTGGGCAAAAGTTACTGAGACCCTATCTTAAAAAACAATGCACACCTATAGTCTTAGCTACTTGGGAAGCATACGTAGGAGGATTGCAGTTCAAGGCCAGCCTGGACAGTTAGCTCAAAACCCTATCTGAAAAACAATCTAAAAAACAAAGGACTGGGGCAGTGGTTCAAGTGGCAGAGTGCTTGCTAGCCCCTGAGTTCCATCCTTAGTACGAAGGAAGGAAAGAAGGAAGGAAGGAAGAAGTCTGAACAAATGGGCTCTGAGCAAAGCCCAGTAGACTGACTGTTGTGACCTTGATGTCTAAAACTTTTTGAGGCTATCTTCCTTGTTAGTGTTTGGATGAGAAAACATGAGGGGAGTGTGCCTTCCCTAAGTGTTAAAGAGGCAGAGCACCTTGTTGACTCCTTCTATTCATCTTCCTTAGTGCCTCTACAGTGCCTTCAAGTGTTTTGCATAGACCAGGTTCTCAGTAATTCTTGGTAACTGACGATGACTTCAGTATTCACTTCTGTCACAAACCCAAACTACACACTGAGGACAGTAGGTCCCACCTATGCTTACACAATATCCCCATGAAGTCCATTAGGAATCGTGGACTTACCAGTGTAGTGGGGTCTTAATAAAATACTTATTCAGTTCAACTTGGTCAACAAAGAGTCTTATCAAGAGCATCCTTGGTGTAACTGAGCCTATGCCTGAGAGGAAGCAGCCAGCGCACACTGGCTCTTCCCATGCAAAGCTCTATCCTGCTTCTCTTGCTTCCTCCCTCATAACGATTGGCTTCGTCTTCAGGTAGGGGAGCAGAGGCCTGGTGCAGGGAATAAGGCCCTTTGGGTCCTATCTGACTTTAGAAGATGGGATTTAGGAAATAGCCTGCCACTTCTCCCAATTTGTCCATTTGTGCCCTGGGAAAAAGCCCTGAGAACTTGGCAAAGAACTTGTGAACTTTCGTGGAATGTGAAGTAAAGGACATGTACTGTATCCCAATAGAGGTATGAATGAACAGGATGTACTGTGTGTCGGGAGTGGTGGATTTGAGCCTATCTGTCTCCAGGCATATCTGCTGTCTGTATCTGTACAGAGTATACAGATGCAACTGTGAGATCTTGGCTCCTTCCAGAGGAACTCTTGCAGGGCTTCACTGGGTCCTCATTCCTGCCTATGAAAGGAAGGAGGAAGTTCTTCAGACCTGTTCAGATGGAGTTCCTAGTTCATGGCTTCTTCTGAGCTTACACATTGATCATTTTTTAGAATGTGTCCTCACCTGTGCCCACACGTTTGCCCCACAGGGGAACCAGCTACTTATGCTAAACTGAAAGCAACACAAAATGCGTGTTTGTTTCTGAGTCTGCCAGAAAGGCCAGCCTCACTGAGACCATCAGCGCAGGGGATTGGATGCAGGGACTGATCCATGTATGTATTTGTGCAGGTCGAAACAGCGGGGCCTGGGACTCAAAGTCATCTTCACCCACTGCACCATCTCCCCTGCCGAGGGCTGGGTAAGTACACATTGCAGGCAGAAGTCTGGTGAAATGGGATGGGATGGGATGAGGGGAGCCTGCTGGCTTATGGAACTCCCTTTAGAAGTTCTCCATACCCTGTGGCTTGAAGTGATGGTACATGCCTGTAAACCCAGCTACTTGGGAAGTGAAAGTAGGAGTTTTGAGGTCCAAGGCCAGCCTAGGCAAAAGTGTGAGACCCTATCTGAAAACACAACTTCAAAAAGCAAAGGACTAGGGGAGTGGCTCAAGTAGTAGAATACTTGTCTAGCAAGCAAGAGTCCTTGAGTTCAATCCCCAGTGTCACACGCATAGAAAGAAGACTTCTACCTCTACAGCAGGCTGGACCAGGGGAGCCCCTGTTAAAATGAAGCTAAGAGTCCTTCCTCCCATGGAGTTTTACTTAGATTTTGAGTTCATTGGCTTACAAGTGTTCCACAAGACACCCTGACTTCCAGAAGTGCCAGCACCTGAACAATCTTGAGCCGTCCTAGCAGGTTTCCTTGTTCTCAGTTTTTCTTGCGCCCAGTGAATGGTCTGTAATAATGTGTGTGACATTTTGCACATACACCAGGCTGCGCAGTCAAAGCGCAAATGCTAAGGCTCCTTTCCAAAGTGATACAGAAGTTATTCTTGTTTACTGAATTTAAAAGCATTGTGCAAACAGTTGGTGAGTGCTGTAATGTCAGCTCGATAAGTTATTTTAAAAGCACACTTAAATATGTCTGAAGCTGGCCTGCATGATTATAATCTTAATTCAGCCTGTGTGGAAACCAAAGGAAGCCTTCTTTTCAGGGGTTTGTTAATCAAACTGCACACTTTTCTCTTGGCTCAGCTTTATCACTTTGTGAAAGCTATTTAGTCTTTCTGAACCTCAGTTTCCTGATCTCCTGAAATGTGATAAGATCTATTTTTAAAGATCATTTTTAAAGGTTTATATAAATGTGAAGAACCTAGTCCAGTTCTAAACATCTGACAGGCATTTGGTTATTGCTATGTTCTTTTCCTATACTTCAACTCTTAGCCAAAAGAGGATGGGATTTAAACACCAACAAGAAGCATGAAACCTCAGTGACACGAAGTTTCAGGCTCTAGTGGAACCAAGACAAATAGTAATGGTAGTGCAGGCAAGAACCTCAGGACCACAAATCACAGTGGTTTTCACATGTGTTTTGGTCTTGGGTCTATCTGAATGAAATCTGATGTGAGGCCTGGTGGAGAAGGATCATCTAGAAGCAGGACTGACATTGGCATGCTTGGCTGTCCTCTTATCTACATGGCTGCTCTGGCAGTGGCGTAGGGTGCTATGATGGAAAAAGAGGTGGTCCTCAGTTCACAGGTGAGGAAACTAAAGCTCAGACTTGCCTCACAGCTAAGAGAAAGAGTCCATGGTCAACAGTGATTGCAGAACTAGAACAAGAGCTGGAGCTAGGTGTACAGCTTAGTAGTAGAGCATTTGACTATAGAACAAGAGCTGGATCTGCTGACTCCCTGACAGTTGGGTCTGTTTATCCCTCATTAACCCTTCCCCATCTGTCAGTGGACTCTGTCTGAGGCTAGGAAGATCAAAATAAATCCCTCTTCCATCCATCTTTGCCCTTCAAGGGCGGTCTTCCTTCCCTCTGTATCTATTTCATTATTCTACTTTAAACCAGATGGTAAGATGACAGGTCCACTTGATCATTGTTGTGTTTTACAAAGCTGATCTCTTTTTATTCCACAGGAAGAAAACAGCTGTACCCCTGAAGATAGTAAGTTAATTTTGCATTGAAAAATGATTCATATTTCATGCAATATTTACTCTTGTCCTCTTATTTAAAGTTGAAAATGCTTCCAGCTCTGGTGAACAGCAATGTTAGCTACTGAAGCTGCTGCCCAAATAGCCCAGAGGAACTTGGAATCCTCAGGTAGCCAGAATGTTGTGGTCTGGGAGGAGCTCATCCATCCTGAACCCTGGGGTGCCAATAAGTGTGTGCAGCAGATCAGAAAGAGTGGTCAGGGGGCCTCCATGTTTCCCGCTGCCCCTGCCTTTCCCAAGAGAAGGCCCTGTATCCACTTCTTGCCTGCTGAACCTACAGCAAATAGCAGGCCATTATGTATTGAGCACACAGAATCAGATTAAACTCAGATTCTGGGCAGAACTCTAAGCCAGCCCATTATGCAAGGTAGCCCACCAGACCTGGAACCTACTCTGCAGCATGACTGTGACAATCACTTAGCAAACACACAGAAGGTAGGGCCATGAGACCAAAAATCAGATGCTGGGTGCCCACTGCACAAGCACTACTGCCTGGCAACTGATGGGGATCACTGTCAACTCCACAGACAGAGCAGGGAGGTCCCCACACCAAGCTGACACTGCCCATTACATGAGACACTTCCAGCCAGCTGTCACTGGATGTGTGTTATGATTGAAGGAACAATTATGCATCAAAGAACACCCTTCTAACATGTTTATTTTATTTATTTCTTTTATTCCTATGTGCATACAATGTTTGGGTCATTTCTCCCCCCTTCCCCCACCCCCTCCCTTACCACCCTCCCCCGCCCCCTCCCTCTCCCTGCCCTTGACACCCAGAAGAAACTATTTTGCCCTTATCTCTAATTTTGTTGAAGAGAGAGTATAAGCAATAATAGGAAGGAACAAGGGTTTTTTGCTGGTTGAGATAAGGATAGCTATACAGGGAGTTGACTCACATTGATTTCCTGTGCATGTGTGTTACCTTCTAAATTAATTCCTCTTGAACTAACCTTTTCTCTAGTTCATGGTCCCCTTCTCCTATAGGCCTCTGTCGCTTTAAAGTTTCTGCATTAGTTCCTTTCCCTTGAGGACATCAAATGCTATCTTGGTTTGTTTGGGGTTTGTTGCCTATCCTCATACCTCCCTTGTGTGCTCTCACTTCATCATGTGATCAAAGTCCAATCCCCTTGTTGTGTTTGCCCTTGATCTAATGTCCACATATGAGGGAGAACATATGATTTTTGGTCTTCTGGGCCTGGCTAACCTTGCTCAGGATGATGTTCTCCAGTTCCATCCGTTTACCTGCAAATGATAAGATTTCATTGTTCTTCATGGCTGAGTAAAATTCCATTGTGTATAAATACCATATTTTCTTAATCCATTCATCAATAGTGGGGCATCTTGGCTGTTTCCATAATTTGGTTATTGTGAATAGTGCTGAAATAAACATGTGTGTGCAGGTGCTTCTGGAGTAACCTGAGTAGCATTCCTTTGGGTATATCCCCAAGAGTGGTATTGCTGGATCATATGGCAGATCTATGTTTATTATTGCTGGATCATATGGCAGATCTATGTTTAAATTTTTAAGAAGCCTCCAAATTCTTTTCCAGAGTGGTTGTACTAGTTTGCATTCTCACCAGCAGTGTATAAGGGTTCCTTTTTCCCCCGCATCCTTGCCAACACCTGTTGTTGGTGGTGTTGCTAATGATGGCTATTCTAACAGGGGTGAGGTGGAATCTTAGTGTGGTTTTGATTTGCATTTCCTTAATGGCTAGAGATGGTGAGCATTTCATTTTTTTCATGTGTTTTTTGGCCATTTGAATTTCTTTTTTTGAGGAAATTTTGTTTAGTTCACTTGCCCATTTCTTTATTGGTTCATTAATTTTGGGCGAGTTTAGTTTTTTGAGTTCCCTATATATTCTGGTTATCAGTCCTTTGTCTGATGTGTAGCTGGCAAATATTTTCTCCCACTCTGAAGGTGGTCTCTTCAGTTTAGAGACCATTTCTTTTGTTGAGCAGAAGCTTTTTAGTTTTATGAAGTCCCATTTGTCTATGCTATCTCTTAGTTGCTGAGCTGCTGGGGTTCCATTGAGAAAGTCCTTGCCTATGCCTATTAGTTCCAAAGTATTTCCTACTCTTTCCTGTACAACTTTAGAGTTTGGGGTCTGATATTAAGGTCCTTGATCCATTTTGAGTTAATATTGGTATAGGGTGATAAACATGGATCTAGTTTCAGTTTTTTGCAGACTGCTAACCAGTTTTCCCAGCAGTTTTTGTTGAAGAGACTGTCTTTTCTCCATCGTATATTTTTAGTGCCTTTGTCAAAGATAAGTTGGTTATAGTTGTGTGGCTTCATATCTGGGTCTTCTATTCTGTTCCACTGGTCTTCATGTCTGTTTTTGTGCCAGTACCATGCTGTTTTTATTATTATTGCTGTGTAATATACTTTGAAGTCGGGTATCGTGATATCTCTAGCATTGTTCTTTTTGCTGAGTATTTCCTTGGCTATTTGTGGTCTCTTGTGTTTCCAAATAAATTTAATGGTAGATTTTTCAATCTCTTTGATGAATGTCATTGTGATTTTGATGGGAATTGCATTAAACATGTAGATTGCTTTTGGGAGTATAGACATTTTTACTATGTTGATTCTACCAATCCTTGAGCATGGGAGATCTCTCCATTTTCTAGTCTTCCTCAATCTCTTCTTCAGGAGTTTATAGTTTTCCTTGTAGAGGTCATTCACATCTTTTGTTAGATGTACACCTAGGTATTTGATTTTTTTTGAGGCTATTGTAAATGGAATTGTTTTCATATATTCTTTCTCAGTTTGTTCATTATTACCAACATGTTTAGTTTGAATAATATTGCTTTGGCTTGTATTTCTACATTCTGCTATGTTAAATGTCTTTGCTTTTTTTTTTTTTTTAATATATAGACTCCACTTGCTTCTCCACAGAATGCATCAAGTGTTTGTGAAGGTAAATCTATTTATTTTGCAGGCTGGGCATGTCCACTGAAAGTAACTTTTTAAATTAAGGATTTGTATATAAGTGTAATCCTGAATTTTTTTGATTATTTGTAAGTCAATTTAAAGGAAATTGAATTTTCTAAGCAAAATAGTCTTTCAGCAACTCACAAGCTGCCAGGTCTTTGGAATAGGCTCCAGCCTGTATTGGCTGCTCTGGCCCACACACGTCTGAAGGCTACTTTAGAGTCATTCACCTATCTTAGAACTAACAGCTAAAGTAATGAATTTTGAATACCCTGTTTGTTTGAACAAGTTCTTTTGCTAAGTTTTCAAAATGTTTTCCAGGTTCAAAGGTCTGTCTTCTTATATATCGTCAAATGCTTTTCTGTCTTTGTTTCCCAAAAACCTGATTTCTAAAATAACTTCCCCATTTTAAGTCATTTTTAAGTAACTTCCTCCATTTGAAAACATGTACTAGGAAAAAAAAGAGAGAAAGAAAGAAGAATCATTCATAATACTAACACTTAGAGCATGTAGCTGATCAAATCCTGCACCCATCTGGTTCCACACCTGAAGGTACCAAAGCTAAAAGATGTAGTGAGTGCTTCTTTCACTGTTTCCTGAATTAATGTGGGCACATTTACATAGAGCGTGCAAGTTCCTCTCCTGATGGACAACAGATCCTTTCTGACTATGCACTTCTCATATTTCTGCTTTAATTACTCCAATAGGTATTTTCCATTCTGTTTTCCACATCTTTCTCCCCAGACTATTTCTGCAGCATCCCTTCTTGTCTGCTGTCTTGCCTTCTCTACCTTTCCTTTGATGCTTTTTTCTTCCTGGACATTTCATGCAGTCTTTGCATGTCCTTCCATTCCTTTCAGTCTCTCCTGCCTATTGAGCAAGGAGCATAGAGTGATAGTGACCTCAGGGCCTCTAAACCTCTGAAGAAAGTAAGTGCAACCGAGTGTAAACTTCATGGCCTTGGGAGCATCCAAGAACCAGGTGAGTTCACACCTGCCCCCTGCTGCTTGGTGTCCTCCTTCTTAAAGGCTCCCAGCATGGGAATTTGCATGGTGAATTAGCTTGGTGTCCTCCTTCTTAAAGGCTCCCAGTATGGGAATTAGCCTGCTGCCTCCTTGTACTTATTTCAAGAGCAAGGGGCCTTCCAAACCAAAGCCAGGGAGCAGCCTCTTCTTACCTAGGAAAGAAACCTAAAAGACAGGCAAGGAGGTCAGATCAAAGCTCAAAGGCTGCTGGAATCTATTATGGTCATTGTTTCTCCTTTGAAAATTACTAAGTTTTAAAGTCATGAGCAAGGCCAGGTGTGCTACATGTCTACAATTCCTGCATTTGGGAGGCAGAGACAGGAGGATGGAAAGTTTGAGGCCAATGAACTCCCTGGAGTACATGGGGAGTTCCAGCCTGAGATGCATAATGAGAGCCTGTCTCAAAAAACAAAAATAATGAGAGCAAAACATCTCAGATGGCAGCTCAAAGTAATCTGCTATGTATTTGAAATATCTTTAGAGGTTCAAGAGTCCTCTGAACTTCAGTGCACCAGAGGGAACCCTGAAGTCTAGCTTAACAGTTACATATTGGAATCTTTGAGTCCTTACTACTTTTGCTCCTTTTGGGTTCCTATAGCTTTCAACCTTTCTTCCATACAGGAGACTCACCCATGGATACACCAACATTTTAATGTACTCCCAGAGCAAGAGGGAGAACAAAACATTAAAATAATTTATGATCACATTTATTAATAGTTCAGTAGTAAAGTTCCCAATGGGCTTCAGCATAAACTTCTTAAGTTCTGGATTTATGCTCATTTTTCACCCTTCCTCAAGAAAACACATGAAATGTGAGTGGCATTAACATTGTTATAGGGATAACCATGAATTTGTTCCAATTAATTTTTCAAAAAGAGTAGAACATTCAGAAATCCTGATGTTACCTCTCATCAATAACAAATTACTTCTACTGCATCTCATGACTACTAATCTAGACATACCAGGGTAGAGTAACACCTAAGGGAGGCTACATAGAAAGCAGACGATAAATTGTGTGGCCTGAGCTCACACACTGAAAGGTCCAACCTCCATGGGTTCAGTCTCAGATTACATTGCCAGAGGATGAGCAGAGAGGTACCAGCATGGACTGTAACACTGCTGGGTGGAGTCCTCATCCTAAGAGTACAAACACATCAGTGGACTGACATGTGCACAATGTCCTGGCAGAAGACAGGTTCCTGGGAAGACATGAGACCAAATTTGGTCCTTCTTGGCTGATGCAGTTGGGTTTGGGGTTGGGGACATTTCATTTTAATCCTAATATGAGAATTTTCCTAATTCAGAAAAGCCTATTCCTGCTGAACGCCACCGAGGGTCTAGCCACAGACAAGAAGCTGTACAGTCACCAGTGTTTCCTCTTGCCCAGAAGTAAGAATCTTTCCCTTTACAAACAAGTTTCTAGACAGTCATGGTGGTGCATGCCTGTAATTTCAGTTCTCGGGAGGCTGAGGCAGGAGGATTGAGAGTTCCAGGCCAGCCTGGGCTACATTGTGAGTCCCAAGGAAGCCTCGGCTACACAGTGAGACCCTACCTCAAAAAAAAAAAAAAAAGTTTCTTCTTGTTGCTGTGGGAATTAACATGTGCTTGGTTACAATGAACAGTGGTCTGTAGTGCTGAGTAAAGATTTCATTGCTTTGAATTAAATCCTAAAAAGTTTTAGGCAATTAAAAAAATTAGATAGAACTATAGAGACCTATTATCCAAGTTAATTACTGGACTTAATTGAAAAATAATAGTTCAGTCAAACCTCCTCCTTTTTCAAAAATCTTGCTGATCTTCAAGGTTCTTGGTGTCTCTATTGTCTTTAGGTAAGTCTGATTAGTCATTGGTGTTGATTCCTTTGTAATGTCAGTGTAAACAAAACTAATTCATTTAATTAATTTGAAATTCTTCTTTTTCAGACCTATTCATCAAAAACCCATACCTCTACCAAGTAAGTACAATGAAGTCATGAAGAGCAGCACAAGGTAGAGGTTAAGGCTGGATGTGGCTGTCTGCAGACCTAGGTTCTAACACAGCTCTGTCACTTCCAGCTCAGTGATCTTAATGTCTTTTCTTGTTTTCTCATTTATAAATAAAATGAGGCCAAGAACATTTATTTCATAGAATTGTTTTGAAAGGTAAATAGATTTTAGATGATCTTTACTTTCTTTTCTTTTGTAGCACTGATTTAATAGTTTACAGTTGTTAATCTTAACAAAAAAAAACAACTCAATATAGCTGTTTTCAAAACAAGAAAATTAAGTAAAACAACAGATGGGAAGTACCTGGTATCATGCTTGGAACATAGTCCTCAGTAAATGATGACTGTTTAATTTAAATCTAAAATACCTGTTAATGACCATCAAGTCTATGTGCAAAGAGGATATGACAAACAGCTAGATTGTTTTCCCAAGGCAAACATCACCCTAAAATACATGAATCAAATAAGTCAGGCTCACAGAATGTAACTACCTTCTAGTATTCTTTCTACTCAATGTAGGAGAGAAAAGTATAAAAACAACTCTATCTTACATAGGTCATCTGAATCATATTACAAAATAATCAGGGTAAATTCCTTTAAAATAAATTAAATAATTGTCATTTACAAAAATGATGTGCATTTTTACTGCACATTGGCTTTGGTTTTTAATAACATTTTTGCTTAATCAAACAAATAGAACTTGTAGTAGTTTTTTTAAAGTCTGATAATACAAGGTGAAAATGATTTGGGTATAGATTTTCCTTTTCATTATTTAACAAGCTTTATAGGGATGGAGGTGTGGCTCGAATGATAGAGTGCCTGCCTAGCAAGTACAAGACCTTGAGTTCAAACCCCAAGACTGCGAGGAAAAAAAAAAAAAAGCCTTATTATACCTTTTATTTTCACTCCAAGTCATTCATTCAATTGTTACTGACCATCTGCTATGTGCCAGGCACTGTTCTAGGCAGAGGGGATACTAGAACGAATCAAAGACCTTGTCTTTGTGACATTTACATTCTGCTGAAGGAAACAGACAGTACAAATAAACACATAGATAAACAGTACCATATCAGATAAACACTAAAGTGCTATAAAGAAAATGAGAGCAAAGTGGTATGGGTGTGTGGGTGGCAGAGAGTAGTAGAGGCAGTAAGAGCTTTATTTTAGATGGCACAGTCTGGGAAAGCCTCTTCTGTAAAATGAAGTACTCCAGCTCCTCCTACAAAGAGCTGGGTGAGAACGAAATGAGCTAGCATGATGAAAACAGCGTTCCTGGCACATGTTCAGGGCACCAAATATGCTAACCATAGGTATCCCTCCAGCTGCCCAAACTGCAGAATCCACCCATCACCGTAAACTGGGTACCTTGGGGAAGTCTGACCACCCATTCACCTTTGCTGCTCCCACCTGGGAGTACCACCTCTGTTAGAAGCCATTCTTCCTTTAGGCCCATCTCTGTTGGAATGGCCAAGCTCCCTGCCACTGCCCTCTCCTATTACAGTGGTGGCAGCTTCTTAGAACACCTAGAGCACTAGTAACTAAAGCACTTAGTTCATCCAAACTTGCTTCTCCTGCAGACTTCCTTGTCTGAACACAAGACAAGTCTGGCTGCTCTTCCTTCAAATAATATCCAAATCTAACTACTCTCACCACTTCCACTGCTGTGATCTATTCCAAGCCACCAGCAAGAACATCTAACTGCCCCCCTCCTCTGCTGTTGCCCACTGTGCGCTTCTAGCCCAGCAGTAAGTGACTGTTACAGACAGGCAGATCAGGTTACTCCTTTCTTGAAAACCCTCGCAAAACTTCTCAGAATGTGTTCATTAAAACTCTAGTCATGGTAAGGGGCCACCGGGTCCTATAAATCTGGTCCCCTTTTGCTTCCTGCCTGACCTCATCCCTATTCTTCCCCCCCTTTTCTCACTAACACTCCAGGCACAATGGCCATCTTGCCATTCCTCAAATCCTCCAGCCTTTGCACTCATTGTTCCTGCTGCCTGGAACATTCTTCCTTCAGATGGCCACAAGCCTCCTACTTCTCTACCTGCAGATCTTACCTAAGTGTCAGTAGCCTTCCTTCCCTATTTATCGCTCCCAATAACATTTGTAACTCTTAATATTGTATATATATTTACTTTTATGTCCTTGTTGCATAGCATCACCCATTAAAATATAAGTTCCAGGAGGTTGGGGCATTTTGCTTATTTGTTGCGTGCTCTGTATCCCCAATGTGTTGATGTGTGGCAGGCACAAAAATAAATGAATGAATACAGCTAAGAATTTTCTCTAGTTCATATGTCTCCACATAAACTTGAGGGAGTTTGCCTCAAGGCAGTAATTCTCAAACATTTTTATCTCAGGGCCATTTTAATACTCAGGTGGGAGGATAAAATAGGTCTTTTCTAGGGCTGGGTACTAGTGGTAGGGAGGTGGGCATAAGGAAAGGATGAATGAGGGTAAATATTGTGGATGTATTGTGTATCCATATATGAAAATAGAAGAATGAAACCTGTTGAAATTGTTCTAAGAAGGTGGTGAGGGGAGAGGGAAAACAATGGAGGGATAAATAATTAAGATGCAAATATCACAATGTATCCCCCTGTATAGCTATTATATGCTAATAAATAAAAAATTCATAATAAAAAACAAATCATTGCCAATCCAAAGAGCTTTGGTATACATGGGTTTTTTTTTCCTGTTGATAGTATATTGAGAATTAAAACTTTTAAAAGATAATTAAAATTGTTGAAACATTTAAAACATATTAATTCATTTAAAAATAACATTAAACTCACTACATGCTACCATAAATATTTTAAATGAAAATAATTATTCTAAACAAGAATAATAGTGGAAAGAGTGGTATTGTTTTACATTTTGCAAATTTCTTCAATGTCTGGAATAATAGAGATTGCTAGAAACTCCTATCAGGGTCAACTTCAATGCGTTATATGTTTTTCTGGTTGAAATACATGAAGAATAGAGGAGGTTAATCTGATCAAAGTTAAATATATGCATGTATGGAAATACCATCTTTGTACCTTTACTGTACACTAATCCCTTTGTACCATTAGTGTACACTAATTTAAAAAAATACATGAAGAAAATCAGGCTCCACAAAGATAGGTAATTGGAAAAAGCAACCATCTTTTGAATCCCCAAAAAGGATCTGGGGGAATCCCAGAGGCCCTGGAACCATACTTTGAGAACCATGGTCCTAAGGATTTTTGTGTGTCACTCTATCACCCAGCATAGCAGTGCGGTGTAGGCATAGTAACTGCTCAAGAAATAGTAAAGATTAATTGATTTTTCAAATTCCTTTCAGGACTTCCAGAAGGGGGAAGCCCATCTGTGGATGGACCATCCCCAAGTTTTTCATCTAATTCTACTTTTGCAGAACAGGTATGACATGAACTTATGATATCATTGAATGGTTATCAGTAAACTGCAGGAAAGGGCATGTCTTCTGAGAAGAGAGATGGAGTAAAGCTTGAACAGAGCCTGTACTTAAAGTTGGTTCGATGGGTACAAAACATCCTATGTTTTTTCAATGACTAAGACCTTGTTCCATTTATTCCAGTTTATATTCCAGATGCCCCAAATAACAATGAGTGTTTCTCCAAAATAGCAAGGAAATGTGTTGTTTTTATTGTTCTTCCTTCTGACACAGATTTTATTTAAACTATGTGATTCCCTCAGAACAGACCTGTGAAAGCTTATGATATAAAAGCACATGTAGGACAGAACAGTTTAAAAAGAGACAGAGAAAGGAGTCTGTGTGCACTTGAACAAGTCTCTCTGAGCTTATGTAAAAATGTAAGATAGAGGTAACACATCTCCTTCTTGCCTTCAAAGAAGGCATATATTCTTATTTGTAAGAATCAAGTGAGATAAAAACATTTTGAAAATTACAAAGCACTCCATAAGACAACAAAAAATAAGAGCAAAATAGAGAGATTGTGACTTACTTAGGAGAAAGAAAAAAATGGTTCAGGAACCTGGTGGGATTTAGTTAAGTTCAAGTACTAAATTTAGCAGCTGTGGTCAAATGGGAACAAGCCAGCAATGTAATCCTCATGGGTGGCCAAAGGAAATGCAAAGTCAATTTCATGCTACTGGTACAGATGTTGATTATTGGTGCCTGTCTTGCTCTTGTAAAATGGGTCTTCGTTTCCAGTGCACAAAAGTTGCAGAATCCTTTAAGAGGGTGGAGTCTCAAACTCTCAGCCCTTTAAGGAACAGCTCATCTTAACAATGCCTCCACTTCACAGGAAGCTGACATTTACTCTAAGCCCTGGTATGCTGGTGCCTGTGACCGAAAGTCTGCTGAAGAGGCCTTACACAGATCAAACAAGGTTTGGTCATCTTTAAATCCCATAGGATAGGCACAGCTGTCATCATGATAAATGCCAATTAAGTAATTTCAACAACTGTGGATGCAGGGATCTTTTTCCTTTACTCACTCAAGAGGAACTGTCATTCTTCTCTTTGGTGCACCCTCATGTTCCTCCATCTCCTTTCTACTTGTTCTTTCATCTCAAGGCTCCACTGCATCCAAACAATGGGTGAGAAGTAGGTGCCAGGGGGGATATATCTGGAAGACAAGGTGCTACATGAATTCCACCCAGGGTGAGCAGTGACAGGGTATTTTGGATTAATTTGTGAGATTAAAGATTTGGATGAAGATGGTAAAAAATACCTGGAAGTAAATTTTTTATTTATGTAGGAACACTGGGGACAGTTAGAGGACAATTTGAGATTAAAGTGCCTCTTTTCATTTTCTTTCTACCTTCCCTCCCACTTTTTTTTTTACTCGCACCCCACTTAGTTCCTTGAGCTCTGGCAAATTAAAAACTATTTTGTTCATAGAATGATACTTGGAGGAAATCTTGACTGGATATAAAATACTTAGCATGAGTTTTTGAAAGGATTGTTCTGCTGCCTTGCCTTACCATATGTGCAGCTTTCGAGAAGTTTGAAACTAACGTTATTTCGTTGCCCTCGTATCTGATTCAATACCTTAGTCTGAAGGCTCTGGAGAACTTTTGTTTTTAAAGTCTAATTGTATTACTACAATATGAATTGAGTTGATTTATTGCAGGTCAATTTTCCCAAGTAGACAAGAAGCTCTTTCTCTTATATTTTCAGTAGTTATAGTCTTATAGAGTAGTTCTCTTCCATTATTTTTTCTTCTTCAAAAACTCAAATTACATGCATATTAGATTATTTTCATTCTAACCACTGTCTCCCAGCCCCTACTGCATTTCATTGGCTCTCATTTTCAGATGTTGGTTGTCTTCACATCTTCCTTCACTGTCATGCATTAAATCTTTGTTTCAGTCTATTGTACCTGAACAGCTTGTAATTTTTTCTTTGTTTCTGAGATAGGCTTGTTTTTTTCTTCAAGTTCTTTCCTAAATTTGATCAACTCTTGTGACATTTCTTATTCCTATTTTTTGTCCATTTTTTCATAATTTTTAAAATTTATGAATCTAGAACATTTTATAAAATAGTTAATAAAAAGTGGAGTATTGTGTTAATAGGATTTTTCTGCTTTAAGTTTTTTTGAGAATATTCAACAGCTAAAAGTTTTAATTCTAACCTCTACTTTCTTCTTACAGTACTTTCAAATGGAATTTGATTCTTTTTTTTAACTCAGTTATGGACATGGTATCCTCTAAAGTTGATCTTACTGTGTCCCTTCATATATTTCTAAACCCTATAAACATAATACCATTTTTTCCTTAGTTAACACATCTTTTAAAAGCTATATATGCATGATGTTTTATGAGTACATATTTTTGTGGATTACTTTCTTAGAAAATACTGAGATAAAAGCCAATCAATAATAAAAAACATGGGACTAAATAATTACCTTTTGAATATAAGTATTCTTCATAAACTGACTTGCAGCTTATAGAAATATAAGTAATACTAACCATAATTATGATTTACTTTTATGATACAGGATGGATCATTTCTTATTCGGAAAAGCTCTGGCCATGATTCCAAGCAACCATATACACTAGTTGTGTTCTTTAATAAGCGAGTATATAATATTCCTGTAAGATTTATTGAAGCAACAAAACAATATGCTTTGGGAAGAAAGAAAAATGGTGAAGAGGTCGGTAATTCTTTTTTATTTTATTTCACTTTGTTTGCTTGTTTGTTTGTTTTGGAATCAGGGTCCCACTACGTGGCCCGGGCTGGACTTGAACTCAAGATCCTACTGCCTGAGCTTCCTGAGTGCTAGATTACAGGCATGCACCTCCATGCCCAGCTAGTAATTTCACCTTTAATTTAGCTCTATAACTATACATTGAGCACAATGGCATCATACTGTATAGTGCTAGAGATGAAGAAAAGGATACCAAAGCACTCAGTCCTGGGATCGCATACATGTCATAAATACAGAACAAGCTAACATACTTGATTTGGGCAGTAGATACTATGAGAAAACAGAAGAGAGGAAAGAATGGTATGATCTTATCAGAATCCTTTCATCCAGTTTCTTAATGAGGTCAGTCTGACCTAAGATATTATTCCAGGAGGGCATAAAAATCAAGGTTGAAATGTCAAATGGGGTTAAGGTTGTAAGAATCAAGGTCATGGGCTAGAGTTCCAAAGTTAAGATCTAGAAATCTCAGCTCAGGAGCAAAGGTAGCTGACCAGGGAAGGATCCAAGAGAGATGCAGAAACTTAATCTGAAGTATTAGATTGTAGCCTTTGAACCAGAATGAATTTATAGGCCTGAAGCATGAAAAAAAAAAAACAAAACAAAAACAAACATCACATAGGTCTTAAACATCAACCAAACATGAACTTCAACACTTCTTTAGTGAACCAAAATAAAAGCTCAGTGTACCTCAGTTTAGTCGGCCTGTTCCTATGAATGAGCCCGGAAATAAGAGCTGGAACAATCCATGAATAGTCCAAAAAGGGAATGATACCAGTTCCAGTTTTAAATGGTGGATTGAATTTGAACTGGTGGATTGAAAGGTGGAAAAAAGTGGAAAGAACAATCTAAGCAGAGAAAAGAGCATAATAAAAGATCAAGTTAAGAAATAGTTATTTTGAAGAGCCAGGTATGGTGGTACATGTTATAATACCAGCTCTCAGGAGATTGAAGTTGGAGGATTGCAAGTTCAAGGCCACCCTGGCTACACTGAAAGTTCAAGGCTGGCCTCGCCTATAAAACGAGACCCTGTCTCAAAAAAAAATTATTTTCCAGATTCTGTCAGCAAGAGCCACACCCATTCCAAACCCAGCACTTGTCTGGAAGTGTCATAATGGCTGGTGTGTCTGTGTTCGCTGTTGGATGGGACTCAGTAACTATGTCTTGCTCAAGTCTATTTCCAGAACCAGAGTACAAAGACTGGCTTCAGTGGATGATGAACTAAGTTATTAGTTAGGTAGTTACAGGCAAGAGCTAAGCATTTGTAAAGGTAATTGAAAAGATTCTGTGTATTATTTATTTGGCTTTCTAAAAATTGTGGTTAAGAAACACATAACCTAAAACACATACCATAAAATTTCCGTGCCATCTTTAAGACAAGGTCTTGTTCTAAAGTCTGAGTTGGCCTCCTACTCACTATGTAGCCCAGGCTGGCCTTGGATGAGTGGTCCTTCTGCCTCAGCCTCTGAAGAGCAGAGGACCTTAAACATTCCTGAAGTGTGTATCTAAGTAGGGTTAAGTATGTTTGCATTGTTATAAACAGAGCCCCGGAAAATTTTTTATCTTGCAGAACTAAAATTCCATATTCATTAAACAACAATCCTCCTTTCCTATCCCTAGTCCCATTCTATTTCCTCCATTCCAAGTACTAACCAGGCCCAACCCTGCTTAGCTTCTACCATCAGTTGAGATCAGGTCATGTTCAGGGTGGTATGGCCATGGACCCTATTCTTCTTTCAATTTTTATGAATTTCACTACTCTGGGTACCTCATATAAGTAAATTCACAGGGTATTTGTCTTTTTGTGAGTGGCTTATTTCACTTAGCATAGTGTCCTCAAGGCTCCTCTATGTTGTAGCATGTGACAAGATTTCCTTTTTCTTAAAGCTTCTTAGTACTGCATCATATGTGTACGCCCTACTTAGTTTACCCATTCATCCATCAACGGACACCTGCGCTGCTATAAACCTGTACAAGTACCTCTTCTGTAAGAGGCTTAATGGCAGGTGAGGGAGCTGTCCTACTCGAAGGTCCTGAAATTCTCTCATATAAATTTTGAGCTGCTAGTGGATCTTGGGCTTCCTTCTCCAGCTACAAAATTCTAGTAAAGTGGGGTTCCTGTTGGTCTAATCAAGCTCATGCCTGCCTCCGAATTAATAGATCAGCACTTCACCCTACACTCAACATTTTGATCCAGTTCATAGACCAAAGTAAGTACTATATTATTACAGTGGCATCTGAAGAACTGACAGTCAATTAAAACCTTAAATTATCTATAATAAAAAGACCATCTCTCCTATATCCTGAACACCTAAATGGATGCATGAAAATTTTGGTTACGTGATATCAATGGTACGTGTATTTTTAAAAAGTTTTTGTGTGTCTGGATTTGTTTAGACATGGATTGATAAAGTAGCCAATTTATTGTTTAATTTTTCACCAGTTGTTTTGGCATTGTATGATACAGTACAGAGGAATTTTACAGCTTTGACAACTATTGGCTTTATTTTATTGGCCATGAGATTTTTGAGTTATGAAACAAGTTGTTTTTTGTGCATGTGTGATTGTCTCAAATACAGTGAATTAATGTGAACAGAAATAAAACAGAGAACTAAGGGAAAACTGCAACTAAATTTTACCTAAGTTGTCTTTCAATTAAATCACAAATATGCTTCAACTCCACTCCCTACTTCAAACATTTCAAATCAAATCCCTACTGCAAATGTTTCAATTCCTAAGCAGTAAAATAAAGCAATATTCAAAAATATTTAGGGATACAAAGGAGGCAGAGATCAGGAGGACTGCAGTTCAAGGTCAGCATGGGCAATAAGTTGGCAAGATCCCATCTCAACTAACAAACTGGGTGTGGTGGTGTGTGCCTCTAATTCCAGCTACATAGGGGGATAACTGTTTGAGGCTCACTCTAGGCAAAAGTGTGAAAACCTATTTGAAGAATAAGTTAAGCAAAAAGAGCTTGGGGTGTGGCTTAAGTGACAAGTCCTGAGTTCAAACCCCAGTACCATCAGTATGCATATTTAGGCACTAAGTATAGCAATTCTCTTTTGTGCTTCCTGGGTCCAGACACACTTTTTCACTTGGAATCCACTTCAAAGAAGTGCTATTTCATTTCCTAAAAGCTCTTTAGCCTATAAATTTAATTACCAATTGCATTTGGTTTAACAACATGCTATGCTAAACAATTAGAACAAATGTATCGTATGGATTTATCATAAAAGCATTTCATTGGTAATTGCAAGAGGACTGAATGATTGAAGAGAAAGTAAGGAATAAAAACAAAAGTATTTGAAGGTCCCTGTCCCTTCCTCTTCTCCATGACCTAACATTCAGATAGCCAGCTATCTAAAAGAAAACTGGTACTCATTTGAAAAAAGTTAGCAACATTCTAAATATTTTACTTTCTTCAATAGATTTTAGAAGTCTAGAGTGGTGGCTCACACCCATAATCCCAGCTACTTGGGAGGTGGACATAGGAGGGTCGAAATTTGAGGCCAGCCTGGACAAAACAAAGTTAGTGAGACTCCATCTCAAAAACAAGCTGGGGGCCGGGGGTGTGGCTCAAGAGGCTGAGCACCTGCCTCGCAAGTGTGAGGCCCTGAGTTCTAGTCCCAGATTTTGGACAGGAAGCCATCCATCCAAACAAGCAATAATAGCTTTAAAATTTTTTGTTATAAAATTTTTGTATTCCAGATGTTTGTCTATAACTGAAAAATTAAAAGAGAAAGTAAAATCAATTGATACTAATTACTAAATTTAAAGCACTATTGTGGAACAATTAGCAGTTTAAAAATGATTCTAAATGCATTTCTTTGATAACTGAACTTGTAGTGCTTTTGTATACTTTAATGCATTTCATGTTCTGTGTTAAATTTATTTAATCTTTTATTCAAAACTTTGATCACTTTTCAGAAAATAGTTGTGACTTCTAAAACCTACATATAAGAGGGATTAAAGCATGGAAAATTAATACATATGGTGAGAGTCTAGCTGAAATATTATTAATTAGGCACCAAGTTAGCTCGAAGCTTACTAGCCAAGCACAGATGGAAATATGTAGGTTTATAAAGCTTCCTTTACTTGTTCAAAAAAAGAAAACAAAAACAAAACATAAATATATCTAGGAAATAACTTTTTCCTGGTACTAAATTCTAAGATTAGTTTATTACAATCAGTTCTTGTGGTTTAGTTAACTTCCATCACTATAATGGAACACTTGAGATAATCAATTTATAAAGAGAAAAGGCTGATTTGAGCTCACAGTTTGGAGGTTTTAGCCCTTGATAGATTGCTTCTGTGGTAGGAGCCCACAGCAGAGCAAAACCACTTACTTTGTGGCTAGGAAGCCAAAAAGGAAGAGGAAAAGACCAGGGTCCCCCAATCCTCTTTAAGAGCACACCCAACAATGAACTAAAGACTTCCCAGTAGGTTCCACCTGTTAAAGGATCCACTACCTCCCAACAGCGCCACCCTGGGAACCAAGCCTTTAACACATGGACCCTTGGTAGATATTCAAGAGCCAAACTATAGCACTTTGTATCTAAAACTTGTGCAACATAACAGATAATCCATGTTTTATAAATAATGTAGAAAAATTCATTGTGATAGTTTTTGTTAAATAAAAAGCAAAATATTGTTAAAATTTAGCAAAATATTTTTAAAGCTATCATAACTCGATGAAGTAATTTCTCTAAGCAGTTATGCTAATTGAGGCTGTCAATGTGTTTTTAGTCTTACTAAATATAGGAAAGTCCCTTGGAGCCCACCACCCTGAAGGTTATCGTTTTCGTTTAACTGGGCTTTTGGGGCAGTATGTTAGCTGAGACCTAATAGCTTTTACTAACTTGAGAAAGTGGGAGAAGAGGGGAAGAGTGGTGCATGAAGTTAACATGAGCACCAATGGTTATTTCTTCTATTTTTCTTCCCTTAGTACTTTGGAAGTGTTGCTGAAATCATAAAGAATCACCAACACAGTCCCCTGGTTCTTATCGACAGTCAGAACAACACGAAAGATTCCACAAGACTGAAATATGCAGTTAAAGTTTCATAAAGAAAGAAAAAGGAGGCCAATACCATTGCTTCAGACATTTCCCTCAAGTTTTTCCTTTTGAGAAAAAGTCCCCAAGCTTCGTATTTTGGATTATGAATCATCAGTAATAAAATAGAAGATGAAGGAAACTATTAAGGTGGTAATCCTCTCCTTTATAAGATGTTCACATGAACTTGTTGTATCTATTGACTGACTTGATGAACTAATATCTAAGGATCTTAAGTCATCATGCCACTGATCTTCTTCAAATAAATGTATTTAAGAGAAGTACGTAAAGCATTTTCAGTCATGTAAGAAAAGAATATTCAATTTTCAAAATAAGAAAATTATACTCTTGGATAAAACAAAGCTGCTGGAACTTTAGGCCCTCACAATGGTCATTGGTTCATGGATATAGCTAGGCTTTCTTCTGTCAATGCCGGACAGTCTTGGTTAAAATTTTAATGTATAGAAGATAAAAATATTATAGGAAATATATGGTATTTTTAAGTTCAGTAAGGAAGATGTAATGGTTCTTTGTTGTGTGTGCCACCAATCATGAGAGATGTATATGGAAATGAACTTTCCAGAAGTTCTACTGGATTTTGTCGTTACCTTTGCTAATTAAAGATAATTATTCCCTCTTTAATCCACATATGTATCAACTGGAACATAAACTTGATATGAAGTTGAAAGTGAGATGATTGAAAAACTAGATGGAAAAGCTAGTTCCTAAGAAAACATCCCACAGAAAATGGGTAGAAAAACCACACACTGAACACTAAAAAAAGAAGTACCATTATGAGAAGCTAGGTCCCAGGTCTTAGATCAGCCTATAAATACATTATACTCTGTCATAGCAAAGCTTACTTTTCTACTGTGTACTTTAGGAACTGCTGAAATGATAAAGCAGCTAATTAAATTTAATAATTAAATGATAAACACATTTGATCATTGCATAAAATAGCAGTCTCTAAAAGTATTTTAAAAGACTAGATGTAATGATTCAGAGTAACTCACAGGCTCACTTGTAAAGATAGTCATATTTTTAATGTCATAGTTTCATGATTGCTATGTTATGGGTTGAATTTGTCCAGGATCTTTACGGATGTAGTGAAGTTACGATAACGTCAATGAGGTAGGTGCTAGTCCAGTGACTTGTGTCCCTATAAGAAGAGCTCTGGACACAGACACAGACAGAAGACTATGTGAAGCGGAACCCAGGGAGAACACCATGTGAAGATGAGGGACTGGAGTGATGCATCGACAAGCCCAGGAATTCCAAAGATTTTTGACCAGGAAGAGGCAATGACAGATTCCCCCACAGGTTCCTGGGGGAGAATGGGCCTCTGGACGCCTTGATTCTACACTTCCACCTTCTACCATCCAAAACTGGGAGACGACAGATTTTTTTTTTTAAGCTTCCCAGGTTGTGGTACCTTATTATGGCTGTCATAGGAAACAAACAATTTATATACACTTTTTTACAACAAAATCAGATAGATGGGCTTTGGAAATTTTGTAAAGAAAAAAACTTTCTGTACAAAATAAAAACTTTTAAGGAAACAGTAGAGATTTTTTTTCCTGTTAAGGAAAGAATGATTCACTTAGAATGTACTAGAAAGAACAATTCATGATTTAAAGAAAACTTTTACAAAAGTAATCTTTTGTAAAGCAAAGCACCCATTTACAGTATGAAATATTAGTTGAGTTTTCCTCAGTGTTGTGTTGGGACTATTTTCTGTGTAAGTAAACGCTCACTCATTCCTTCTGTTGCCACAATGACCTGGTTTCATTACCCACTCTTCTGCCCCATCCCCACTTTCCTCCCCCAAGTGGCTTATATCAGCAACGTGGAGGAGCACAGCTGTAAGATTATACCAAAGTTATTTAATATTCATCACGGCTAGAATGGATTTCTTGGAGCAGAGGCTGGAGACCCATAAACCATTCTTTGCTGAAGGATCTTCTCTTCCCTAGTGTTGGGAGAAATACCCAATCCAACATACCAGACTTTCCCTCATCTCACGGAAGAGTCCACCATGGATACCCAGGTAGGGAAACCCTATACTTGCTTTTAAAACCTTCTTCTGTAGGTGCTATTCTTAAGGAGGCTAGAAAGCCTTCAAAAGCTTTTGAAAGCCCAATCTGTGATTTTCAATGCTTAATAAGCAAGTGGTTTTTCATAGAGAAATTCCCAAGTTAGTTGATGGGACAGAGGATACTGGTGAAGAAGTACATAGTATAGCAGCTGAATAAGGAAACAGATCATCCCAGTTCCTGTTTTCATTTCAAGGATGCTGCAAACTAGATTGAAGATGTTGTAATAGGTTGGCTGCAAGTTTGTTCAAGCAGACAGCAGAGTGGGAAGGCTGAGTCAGTGGCTATTAGAATTCTGCATTGTGTTTTATAAAGAGCCAGTCACAGCAATAGTTTGGTGACCTTACTAAATTATTCTTATTGCAGGTAGGACAGGTTTGCCTAAAAGGGAGTCCTAGAGAACAAAATGCAGTGATGTGAAGCAAAAGCCAGCAGCACAGGAGACATGACCTTAAAGCAAAACTGAACTCTTGTCCTTCAAAATAGCCTTACCTTTCTATACAACTCAGCCTCTATTTGTAGGTGGGGTTGCATGGAAACCACTTAAAGACCTGCTTCCGGAAGGTTAGTTGCACTGAACGCTCTTAGCACCACAAGGTGGACAATATTGGCTTCAGAAGTAGACAGATCTGGGTATTCTAGGGCAGTACATTCTTGGGTGTACCATTCAAAGCCTCAGTTTCTGCATTCATAAAATAATATATGAGAGAAAAAAATGCTAGCACATGCTAAGTACCTAGCACTTAGCTGTGCCTAACAAATATTAATTCCTATTCCCATAGGCAAAATCTCCTTTGCAGACATAAAAATAATCTGTGGATAACTCTTCAAATAAATCTGCCTATAAATATTTGTGAACATTTAATAATTTTGATTACATCTCAAGAAATATTTCTCTATGTATATGGTTTATAATCTTTTAGAAGTTACAAAATTCTTTGAATCTGAGAGATACTAGCCTTTGTTTCAAGGAAAAAAAGAACATTTACATATATACACAGAATCTCACATCAATTTTCATTAGATTCCTGGACATCTGGGGCCTTTCCATAGTCCAAAGATCCAAAGACCCAAGGCCAAAGACCCTTGCCTTACATTCTCCCTAAACTTTGGTATCAAAATGGGTGTACTATTGTACTAAAGACTGAATAATCCAGAGTAATTTCTCCATTCATTGAGAAACAGGATACTGATGTGGTTTAACACAAGGTCTTTGGAGTTAGTTGCTTCAGTTCTAACTCCAGCTTTACCACTAACAGATTGTGTGAACTTATCTTTTTCATTGGTAAAATGGAAATATTAATGCAACTTACTTCATGGGGCTGTTCCATGATCATATTAAAATTGTAAAAAATTTAAAATGTGAAGTATTATTTACTCAACCAGCCAACATTTATTGAGCCTGCTGTCTGTCTGCCAGTACTATGCCAGGTAAATCATCTCAAATCCTTGAAGGTATCCAAATAACCACATAAGTATTTTTTACTTACTTGGTTTTTTACTTACTCACTGTATTTTTACAGTATCATTTTATGAAACTATCAAACAAGACTTTTATATAGGAATTATTGTACTTAAAAAATGGTCTCTAGTTAGAAAAATACTTGAATAAAAAAATCTAAGTAGACTAAAAGTACCCATTGGTAAACAATTGATAACTGCAATGTTTCATCCTATTTTTTCCTGCTGGCTAGGTGATCTTGGACAAGTTATTCAGTGAGCTCACTGTCTTTCAGAGTTTTTAAGAGAATAACATATTCAATATATTTGGATATGTTATAAAATATGATCTTGAAAAACGGTGTATTGTCATAGATGATACCATAGCTGAAACCTCAAGTGCCCCACTTGGAAGTCTTGTAGTAAAGGATACAATTTAAAGATCATCACAATAAGCTACTGTGAGAGGACAGAAGTCTAAACTATGATAGTGGTCAGGATCCTATAAAAAAAATGGAAACAAATGTCAAAGGAATAAACACAGGGAAGTTAGCCAACTGCATATGGTGAATAGAAAAGAGAGATGATCCATTGTAGCTTCAAGTCTGAATAACTTGAACAACGGAAGTGCCTCTGACAAAGACAATAGTCTGGAAAGGCTATTTGTATTTCATTCTTAACCATGAAGTCTTAAGAGTCTCAAGGGCAGATCCTGGAACAGGCTATCAGTAATCAAAAGACTTACATTTGCATACAGACTTAGACCAGTATGAGGGAAAGTTTGTATTGGTCTGATTAATATTTAGAAGGGCTGGGAATAGTGGCACACACCTGTATCCCAGCAGTTGGGAGGCTGAGGCAGGAGGATTATGAGTTTGAGGACAGCCTAGGAGACCTGTTCTAAAGAGAAGGGAGGGAGACAGATGGGAAAAAAGATGATGGAGGAGAAGGAAAAAGAGAGAAAGAGATAAGAGGAGAGAGGGGAGAGGAGAAGGGAAGAGAGAGGAAAGGGGATAGAGAAAGAAAAAAAGAAACAAAAAAATTAGAAGAATCCTTCTGGGGGCTGAGGGAAGGGCTCAACATATGAAGAATTGTATTAAATGTTAACAGGAATACTAATTTTTTAAAGTTTTTGTTTGGTGTTCATTATAGCATAAAGAAGTGTTGTTTATGAAGATTTTTTTCTGACAGTGAAGGGATACAGTTGAAAATGAAGAAGCTGGAGGTAGGATTAACCCAAGCCTAAACTGTCAAGGTTCTAGACTGTGTGACACCATCAAAGGTGGAAATGGAGGAAATTTAGAAAAGGACACTTCAGGACTTGGATGACAGCATGATGATATATATATATTATATATACATATAACTATATATAACTAATCTGCTTTCATTGCTGAACATATATATATATATATATATATATATATATATATATATACATATATATATATATATATATATATATATATATATATATATATATATATATATATGTCACTAGTCTGTTTCTTTCCATTGTGTGACATATATCAATTTGTTTTTACATTCAATTTGTTGATAGGAATTTGGTTGTTTCCTTATTGGGGTTAAATAAATGAGTTGTATAGAAGTTTTGGTAAATACATAGGAATGGTAATCCTGGGTCACATAGAAAGTGCATGTTTGACTTTATAAGAAACTGCCAAAATGTTTCCCAAATGGATATACCACCATTGGATGCATGATGTATGGGAATGTAGTTGCTCCGTACCCTAATTCTTGATATTGTCAGTCTTTTAATTTTAG